CTGTTGGACGCGGTGGTAATCACTCTTGTTAAATCAATCCTTGTTAAATTCATTTGCATACCTCAGTTTTGTCTATCTTGCTCTCCCACTTTCTACTATTTTGTTGACATGATTTTTAACATACACGTAGACAAAAAAATTCCAGGACCCATTAATATAGTATTGGAAGATTCGTCATGAGAGGGTGTGAGGGGGTTATCATTGGCCTAGTGTTGCGTGGCACTCTTTTCTTCCATGCCTTTCCCGACCTGACCATGTTGGGCACATACCCAGGAGCGATTACTAGGCAAAATTGGATATATATAATTATTGGATATAATTAAGCCGCCAACAACGTTTGTTTTTAACGTCGTACAGACCGACAGAGATTTTAATTTATAGATATAAATAACACAAATAACATTCACACATCCAAACTACACACACACACACACACACACACACACACACACACACACACACACACACACACACACACACACACACACACACACACACACACACACACACACACACACACACACACACACCACACACACACACACACACACACACACACACACACACACACACACACAAAGGACCTCACAAGTAACCTGAGCATGAAACACCATTTTTCTCAGAGTCAAACAAAATATATAACCCAAACATCATTATATTTCTTCAGCTTCTGACTATCTAATATTTTCGAAAAAGAGATGAAACCGATACCTAATTTGCGCCCAGTTATTTATTTAATATTCCTGCTGTTCTGCTTCCATATATGTATTTCATCCATACAAATATGTATATATATATATATGTATGTATACATAGTCAGGTGATTTCCATGTATGCCTCCCACTCCTCTTATTGTATTATTCCACTCAACGCCCCACTAATTCTACCATTCCCATCTACACAAACATAGACGTTGTGTTTGTTCACCTTCCCCCTGTTTGTTCTAGTTCCCCCTGAAGATCTTCTATATTTCTATTCAGTCTCTCTTGAAGAGTAGCGAGAGCTATGTCCCATTTTCTTCATAGGTCCAGCTATAACCTCTCAGCTCAAAACCTATTTTATGTCTCTGGACGGTTTCTAATTTGCCTCTGAGGGTTGTGGAGGTGTGTGGGAGGATGTGGGGAATGGGGGGATGGGAGAAATGGGGGAAGGGGGGGCTAGGGGAGGGGTGAGGGGGGATTATGAGGGAATGGGTTTTCAGTGTCAAAAAAGGTGTGTGTCTTAAAATCTTTCTTTCGAGAACTCTGAAGCTTTCTTTCCTTGAGGCGTTTGTGGGGATCAATGTCCTCGCGGCCCGGTCTCTAATCTGGACTCCTATGCATGGTCAAGGGTCTGGTCAACCAGGCTGTTAAGACACAGGTGCACATATGCTGATGCATGAATCACAGCCCGGTTGATCAGGTATCCTTTGGAGGTATGCAGATGGTATCCAGGACTCCTGTTGCTGGTGACTCTCTTCTCGCCACTACGTGAAAATTGTAACTGTTTTTGCCTCACCAGGAACGTACGAACCCCACCAACTCCCCTAACCTATCGATGCCGATGGATAGGAAAGGTGGTATCTCCCTCCCTCCAAGCACAACTAGGTGAATACACACTCTCTTTCACACACACACACACACACACACACACACACACACACACACACACACACACACACACACACACACACACACACACACACACACGCCCCCCCCTCACCTGTTGATTGACGGTTGAGAGGCGGGACCAAAGAGTCAGAGCTCAACCCCCGCAAACACAACTAGGTGAGTACACAAAAGAAGGTTGGGCAGACTGCATTTTCTTTGACAGAAAGAAAAACACACACACACACATATATGAATATTTATATAGCCTCCACCTCACCTTCATACCATCTACAGCCTCTTGATCAATCCAACTGTTCATTACCTTCCATTGCATCATCCACCCGTTCACTACCTGTTCCTACCCTCCACCAGTTGCTCCTGTGACCACCACAACGCTGAACCACCCTTCAGGACCTGTGTATGTGTCCTGGCACGTCTAACAGGCCAGCCAGAGACTCGAGGCCCGCGCAGAGATAATTCTTCTCAGGCCCCGAAACATAAACAAAGGTGTGCTAAATCAAGCGACCAAATGACGAAAATGAACAGAACACGATTTATACCGATGGTTGAACCCTTCAAGAACTATAGACAATGGCTGGTAACTACCGAACCATCCATCCAGCCCAAACCAACAACCCCCTACACCACCCCCATCCTCCCCCCTAACCCCCCACACCACCCTCACCCTCCCCCCTACCCCCCACACCACCCCCCCCTACCCCCCACACCACCCCCCACCCTCCCCCCCCTACCCCCCACACCACCCCCTCCCCCCTACCCCCCCACACCA